TACATACACATATATATACATATACATATACATATACATATACATATACATATATATATATTTATATATATATTCATACCGGAAGGATGGCGTGGGTGAAGGGCTGGCTCCCGTACTCTGCGAAGCCGAAGGCGACGGTGAGCTGGTCGGCGTCGGAGAAACGGTGGCCGAGGGTGTGACTGAAGGGGTGGGTGCTACTGATGGCGTGGGTGTCGCTGAAGGTGTCGGTGTAGCCGATGGACTAGCAGACGGACTGGGCGACGGGAGCACCTGGCAGACTGTGCCGTTGAACCCCGCGGGGCATGTGCACGTGAAGTTGGAGGTGGGTGTGAGTTGTGCACACGTGCCGTTGTTCTGGCACGGGTTGGGGTCGCACGAGAGCACCTGCTCGTCGCACACGTCGCCGGTGAACCCGAGATCACACGCACAGGTGAAGTTCAGACCCGCGAGGGCCGTGCAGTTCCCATGGGCCCCACACGGCTGCCCGGCACATCCATTGACGACCTCACAGTCGGGTCCGGTGAACCCTTCTACACACGAGCATGTGTAGTTAGTCTCGGGTGTGGTCTGCGTGCAGGTGCCGTTGTTCTGACAGGTGGTTAGACCGCACGACAGCACATCACAGCGCGCGCCTGAGAACCCGGCGTCGCACGCACAGGTGAAGTTCAGCCCCGTGGCGGCCGTACAGTTTCCATTGGCACACGGATTGATGGTACACCCGTTGAGTGCCGAGACCGAAGGCGTGGGTGTGGATGAGAGTGTGGGTGAGGGTGTGGGTGTGGGTGTGGGTGTGGGGGCTATTTCACATACGGTCCCTGTGAAGCCAGCAGGGCATGCACACGTATAGTTGGACTCGGGGGTTGCCTGACTACAGGTGCCGGTATTCTGGCACGGGTTGGGATCGCACGACTGGACCGTCTCGTCGCATCGAGCGCCGGTGAATCCTATATCGCACGCACATTCGAAGCTCAGACCATCCGTTGCTGTGCAGTTCCCATTCGCCCCACACGGTTGACCTGTGCACCCATTCTCCACTCCGCAGGTCGGTCCCGTGAACCCCTCGGGACATGTGCATGTGGCATTGGTCTCGGGTGTGGCTTGTGCGCACGTGCCACTGTTCTGACACGGATTGGGATCGCACAATATGACGGGTGTGTCACATACAACACCGGCGAACCCCAACGCGCACTGGCACGTGAAGTCCAGACCTCCAGTTGCCGTACAATTACCACTGACACACGGACTACTCGAGCACCCGTTGACCAGGGAGGGGGTGGGAATTGGGGTGTTTGACGGAGAGGCTGAGGTGGTGGGAGATGGACTCACCGCACAGGTAGGACCCGTGAACCCGAGCACGCAGATGCAGCTAAAAGTGCTGTTATTACCGATGGCCGTACACACGCCGCCATTGAGACACGGCTGGACTAGACAGGGATCCACCACACCCTCGCATGTAGGGCCTTCAAACCCGGTGGCACACTCGCAGGTGAACCCGGTCTGAGCCGCACCCACACCCGGTAAGGTCGTCACATCGACCTGTGTGCACACACCCCCATTGGCGCAGGGGGATGGTTGGGCCAGACACGGATTGGCCGCGGGAGACGGTATGACCGAGGCAGTCGGAGAGACCGATGCAGCCGCGGACAGTGAGGCTGAGGGTGTTGTTGATGGTGTAGCGACTTCGCACAACGGGCCCACAAAGCCTACCGGACACACGCAGGTCGCCAAGCCTTCCACAACCTCACAGACACCTGCGTTCATGCATGGATTGGAAGCACAGGGATCAATAATCGGAGATGTGGAAGACGTGGGAGTGGGTGTGGGTGTGGGTGTGGGTGTGGGTATAGCTGTAGCTGTAGCTGTAGCTGGAGGCGAAATTGAGAGTGTGGGTGTGGGTGTGGTTGTGGGTGTGATTGTGGGTAGAGTTGTCGCGGTAGTTGTAGTTGTAGGTGAAAATTGAGAGTGTGGATGTCAATGTGGGTGTGGGTGTGGGTGTGAGTGTGGGTGTGATTGTGGGTAGAGCTGTAGCTGAAGCTGAAGCTGTAGCTGAACTTGAAGGTATGGGTGTGGGTGTGGGAGCGCTTGTAAGGGAAGCTGTCGCAGTCGCTGTAGCTGTAGGTGAGCTTGGAAGTGTTTGTGTGGGTGTGGTTGTGGGTGTGGGTGTGGACGTAGGTGCACTTGTGAGTGAGGGTGTGGGTGTGGGTGTGTGTGTCGATGTGGGGGTGGGTTGGGGTGGTGGCGATGTACTTGTACTGACAGAGGGTGATATTGACGGTGATGCTGACGCCGATGCCGAGGGTATGGGATCCGCACAAAACTCGCCGGCGAACTCCGGCGTGCACAAGCACGTGGCCACCTTCCCAACGACTACGCACACGGCTGAGTTCTGACAGAAGGTAACGACGCAAGGATCTACTGCAGGCGATACTGTGGGTGTGACACTGGGGAACGAACTAATACTAGGCGTGGGCGAGGGCGTTATTGAAGGTGAGGGTGTGTGTGACGGCACAATGTCAGCACACAGCTCGCCGGTAAATCCAGGAGCACACGCACATGAAACAACCCCATCTACACTAGCACACACGCCCGCGTTCAGACAAGGTGTAAGCACGCACGCGTCAAGTATTAGTGATAGAGTGGGTGTAACACTAGGAGAGGTAGTTGCGCTCGGTATAGGGGATATGGAGATAGACGGTGAGGGTGATAGAAGGATATCTACGCAAAACTCGCCGCCAAACCCAGGCAGACAAGTGCAGGCGGCAAACCCGCTGACTACTGAACACGTACCTGCGTTGGAACACGGATTGGGTGTGCAAGGGTCGACTACAGGTGATGTAGTGGGTGTGATACTCGGTAAGGGAGACATGGATACTGACGGTGTGGGTGAAGGCACCACGTCGTCACATACTTCACCGGTGAACCCCGAAGTGCATGTGCAACTAGCACTGCCTCCTACCGCCTCACACACACCGCCATTCAGGCACGGGCTGGGGAGGCAGGGGTCCACAACGGGCGATACAGACGGTGTGACACTAGCGATGGGTGAGATGGATGTGGAGGGTGTGGGAGAGGGTATGACATCGGCACAAAACTCGCCGTCGAAGTCACTTGCACAAACACATGTAGCCCGATCGTCAACAGCTTCACACACACCATCATTCGAGCAGGGATTCTCTAGGCAAGGATCTACTACAGGTGATGTGGTGGGTGTCACACTAGGGATAGGCGAGCGTGATATCGATGGTGATGGGGAGGGTATGCTGTCTTCGCAGGTGTCCCCTTCGAACCCGTCTGCACATGTACAACTAGCAAGGCCCTCATCTGCTTCACATACACCTCCATTCCGACAGGGGTTATCCTCGCAAGGATCTACTACTGGCGATGCGGTAGGCGATACACTGGCAATAGGTGAGCGTGTGGGTGAAGGTAAAACACTCTCACAAAGTTCTCCCTCAAACCCATCCGCACACTCACACGTAGCACTGCCATCCACCACCCCACACACACCTTCGTTCTGGCACACATTGGGTGTGCAAGGGTCGGCTTCGCTGCTGGGCGATGGGGACACACTGGGCACCTCCGCCGATGGCGATGGGGACACACTGGGCACCTCCGCCGATGGCGATGTGGACACACTGGGCTCTTCCGCCGATGGCGATGGGGACACACTGGGCGCCTCTGCCGATGGCGAAGGCGAACTTGATGGCTCTACGACAATCTCATCGCCACATGTGGGACCTTCAAACCCATCACCACAGTCACACGAGAATCCAGAACCATCAGGACTGCAGCTCCCCCCATTCTCACACGGATTGGGTGAGCACGGATCCACCACTTCGGGCGTTTCGGTTTTTGTTTCGGTTTCGGTTTCTGTGCTGGTTTCCGAAGTTGTTTCTGGTTCTGGTTCTGGTTCCTCTTCAGGTTCCTCTTCAGCTTCATCTTCAGCTTCAGCTTCAGCTTTATCCTCGGCTTCATCTTCGGCTTCATCTTCGGGTTCGACTTGAGCTTCAGGTTCTGGTTCATCTTCAGCTTCAGCTTCAGGTTCAGACTCAGGTTCTTGTTGCGCTTCTGGTTGAGGTTCAGGTTCTTGTTGAGCTTCTGGTTGAGCTTCTGGTTGAGCTTCTGGTTGAGCTTCTGGTTGAGCTTCTGGTTCCTGTTCTGTTTCTGGTTCCCCTCCGCCGGGAGCTTCTTGTTCTGTTTGCTGTGCCTCTTGTTCATCTGCCTGTGCTGAACCCGGTCCCCCTTCGCCGGCTTGCCGCCTCGCTTGACGGTGAGTGGGAGGATACTCAACTGCGCGCAACAAAGGCATGGTGCAATAGGTAAGTGGAATGCAAACTGCCACACACTTCAACTGATGACGCAACTATGAGTATGAAAATGTTAAGTACTGTGCACGAATGCCGGTATGTAACAACTAATGTCGACTGCTTTGACTTCGTAGATCACCAGTCAGCTTAATCCACATGCAGTGTGTATGGCGCCCGAGAGGAACAACGAGCATGTCACAGTATCACGCGTCAAAATGATACGCAGACAGACCCAAAAGGTGCATCAGTCTTTCTACACATAACTGCAGTGCGCTTGATACAAGAAAACTTCATAACTGCGCGGCTGTTGCAATCGGTAGCATCGCATACCTGTGTCCCAGTTCTCGAATTCGCACACAAAGGGGCGCTCGGAGGTACAGTCTATCGTACGCAAGCCGGAGATGTCGAGATTTGCCGTGGTTTTGACGAGAGCGACACATTGTGGACGGCTAGGGCTCGGTCTTGGTTCAGGCTGACCGTCTGTGTGCGAAATGTGGACAATGTTATCACAACATTCCAATAAGGGTGGACTCTTGAACAGCGGATGTATGGGCAGGTATTTGTCTGTTTGTGGGTATACATTGGCTTTTGAACCACATGACAAGTGCCCAATAGTTCTATGCACTCATGTAAGTTGCTTAACTGTCCACCGATGACTTGATTTGCCTACCTATCATCAAAAGATTACTACACTCCAATTGTGACACTCCGATCACTCATTCTCATCATTTAAGACGCATCGTTAGTGCATGTAGTTTCGGATCCTCACGGAGTATGAGCTACTACCAGAGAGGTGCACGCCGTTTCAGATCAACTTAATCTACGTCTCGTGCTGAGCTGGGTTGCTCCACACATGAAATCAATCATGAAAACAATCTCACACATAACAATAACTCCCGAGTCACTCTGCAGCGGCTCTCGTACACCCCTCACATGAGAAGATAAATATATTTGTATTGGGTACGTATAGGAAAACCCTGCAAAAATCATTCAAGAATATGTAAATACAGACAAACACACACACCAATTTTCGCCCAACCCCAGGTTGAAAAGTCAACTGACGATCCATCTGCCCACTTGGCGTTCTCGACCCACTGCAAATCAAAGAACCGATTGCATATCAAAGAGTAAAAGAAAACGAAAGCCATAACATAGAAATATTTTACAATGCTATGGAATAATAAATATGATATAAATATATATAT